TCTCGTTTTAATTTCTGTTTTCCCATTCACTCGTTTTCCTTACTTTTGTACCGAGATCTACCTCCCAATCTTCAGTTTTTCTTTCTTTTCCTTCTTTGCGGCTAATTTCAACTCTAACCTTTCTCTCTTTCTAACACCTTCTCTCTTTCTTATCTATTTATTTCTAGCTCCCCCTCTGCCTGCCAGTCTCCCCAATCCATACCAATGTCGTTTGTTTGTTTGTTTGTTTTCGCAGTTCATCTTCTCCGACTTCTCCATCGTCTCTATTTAAAAACGCGCACTCCCTGGCGAATGTCCGACGCACAATAAATGCATTCCTCTGCTCCCCGCCGCCGGCCACGTAAGCATACTCCCCCCCTTCCCCCCTTCCCCCTCTCCCCATCTCCTTCGTTCCCGCTACCCTCTGCCTTCCTCCTCTCGTTCTTCCGCTCTTCATACCCCTCCTTTCCTCCCCCTCCCCTTCCCACGCTCCGTATCTCCTCCGTTTTCAACTCCCCTTCCTCCTCTTCCTCTTCCTCTTCCTCTTCCTCCTTTCGTCCTCTTTCTCCCCTACCTGTTCTCTCTCTCCCTTTCCTTATCCTCTCCCTTACCTTCCCGGCCTCCTTCCTTCCGTCCATAACCCTTTCTCCCCTTTCTCACTCTCGTGCTCTCCTCTCTCTCTCTCTCTCTCTCTCTCTCTCTCTCTCTCTCTCTCTCTCTCTCTCTCTCTCTCTCTCTCTCTCTCTCTCTCTCTCCCTCTCTCTCTCTCCTTCCCAAACTTTCCGTACCCTCTTCTTCTTTTCTTTCTTCCCCTCCCTCCTCTTCGCCTACTCTCCTTCCCATTCTTTTTAATCCCTCAACTCAACCCACTCATTACTATACTATATTTTCTTTATGAAAAAGACCTAAAAATCCCATGAAAAATGCGCATAAATGTTAGTGATAATTTTCTTCTCATATTTTCCTTTAGCATGATATATCACTCATGTTCACACACACAAAAATCAGGCATTCAGTCGACGAAATATTCTACCGCATAATAGCCTAATCTGCACGCACGCACGCACCACACGGCCACACACAAACAAACTGTCCTCCATCCAGCCCGATAGCCAATGGTCAATCATCCAATAAATAGCTCTTAGGGATGTGCCATCATGCAATATTCATCATGCACCCAACAGCCCTCAGTGTCATGCAATGCTTACAGCGTTAACGTTATTTACATGATCACTCGACCTTCGTTACTTCAACAAATACCTTGTTTAAAGATAAATCAATTCAAGCGGCCCAATAACGGAAGAATTAACCACGCAAAAGCACAAAACAAAACACAATACAAGCGCCCCCATGCGCTCCCCTCAGCCATCAGCAGACTCGTGTTGCAACCGACTGAGATCTGCAACCCACGGGGCGCCGTGTGAGTCGGCAACAACCCGGGTGAATAAGTAATCCATCAGAAGTGTCGTTACAAATATTACTCACGTTATAATGACGCTGCGCCCCCTCGACCGCTCTCATCTCACGTCTCTGCGACTGACAGATAGGTGGATAGGCAGGCAGGAAGACTCAGGCAAGGACAAGCATGCACACACAAACACGCACGTACCAGATAGATACTGACTGACAAACGCGCGCGCACAAACAAATACACACAGACACATACAGACAAATACACACAGACACATGCAGACAAAGACACACACACACACACACACACACACACACACACACACACACACACACACACACACACACACACACACACACACACACACACACACACTAATGTAAACAAACAACTCACCCAACTGAAAATAAAAACACCAATCAAAATACCTCCTCCCCCCCCACCCCACCCCACCCAAAAAAAACTACTGCTACTCGACCGGAGGAAGCGAGCGCCACCCGCGCGAGACCCCCGCCAGCCAACTTACGTTCTCGTGGTCCATGTGCTTGAGCATGCGGAGCTCCCTGTAGGTGCGCTTGGCGTGGATGTGCGTCTGGAAGGGCCGCGCCAGCTTCTTGATGGCCACCTTCCGCCCCGTCTTCGAGTCCAAGGCCGAGCTGGGGTGGAAGGATGGGGTTAAAGACGGGCTTCAGTCTCAATTAATCAAACTAATTAATCTAATACTAATGACGATGAAAAGAACTAATGACTGGTGATGATAATGAAATCACGAGGGAAAGAGTTAGAGGTAAAGGGAGATTGAAGGATGAAAGGGAAGAGGAGGAGGGAGGGAAGCGAAGGGAGAGGAAAGGAGAGGAGGGAGGGAGGGAGGGAGAGGGAGGGAGAGGGAGAGAAATGGAGAGGGAGAGGGAGAGAGATGGAGAGGGAGAGGGAGAGGGAGAGAGATGGAGAGGGAGAGAGATGGAGAGGGAGAGAGATGGAGAGGGAGAGGGAAAGAGATAGAGATGCAGAGGGAGAGGGGGAGAGATGGAGGAGAGGGGGAGACGTGGAGAGGGAGAGACAAGGATATGGAGAGGGAAAGAGATGGAGAGGAATTGGAGAGGGAGAGGAGAGGAACACAGAGGAGAGGAAAACAGAGGAAAGGAAATGAGAGGAGGGAGGAGGAGAAAGAGGAGGACAAAGAGGAAGAGAAGAAGGAGGAGACAGAGGAGACAGAGGAGAAAGAGGAGGAGGAGGAGGAGGAGGAGGAGGAGAAGGAGAAGAGGAGGAGGAGGAGAAGGGGGGAGAAGAGGAGGAGGAGGAGGAGGAGGAGGAGGAGGAGGAGAAGGAGAAAGAGGAGGAGGAGGAGAAGGAGAAAGAGGAGGAGGAGGAGAAGGGGGGGAGGAGGAGGAGGAGAAGGGGGGGGGGAGGAGGAGGAGAAGGGGGGGGAGGAGGAGGAGGAGGAGGAGGAGGAGGAGGAGGAGGAGGAGGAGGAGGAGGAGGAGGAGGAGGAGGAGGAGGAGGAGGAGGAGAAAGAGACAGAGAGAGAAAGACTTGCATAAAAATAAACCCTCTCACCCTCCCTTCCCACTCCCCCCCCCTCCCCCCCCCCCCCCCCCCTTTTCTACCATTTCCCTCCCCCTGTCTCCCGTATCCGCTAATCTCCATAACCACTCCTGTCTGCGTAACTAACTCCGCCAATGCCACTATCTGCACCTGTTACACGCATCCGGGGGATCTGTCGGTTACATGATATCCGCCAACACACACACGCGCCCACAAATAAAAAAAGGAAAGAAAAGAAAAGAAGAAGAAGAAGAAGAAGAAAATATATCTATATACATATAATAAAAACTTTCAAAATGCTCATCTGATTCGCCCGTTTACCCTACCCCACCTGGCGCCCATGTGCACCTAAAATGTTTACATCTCGACACAGCACATGCTTAGATGGGTCAGGGTGATGCCATACAAATGTTCCCGTGTGTTTGACATGTGCCTCACTTGCGCACTCACCCAGTTTCTCGTTTATGGGAGGAGCCTAGATCCGGACGAAACATTTAGACCTACATTCAAATTTGCCTACACGGAAATTCACGTACGTATGCACACGCATGACACGCACACTGTACATGTCACTTCATCGCCACGCCATGTGAACCGCACGTCCTCTCGAATAGACCTACTGACATACATAGATTTCACACTCACGCACGCAGAACTACCCATACATAAGGGCCTCCTCCTCTTTCTTCCTTTCTTTCTCTTTCTCCCTCTCTACACATCAACCTATACATGAATATTTTCTTGTCATTCTTTCTTTCTTAATCTTTCTCTCTCTCTTTACACAAACCCCTATATATATCTTCTCTTTCCTTCTTTTTTCTCTCTCTTTACACAAGCACCTGGACATCTATACACCCTCCTCTCTCTCCCTCTTCCCCTCCCCTTCTCTCTGCCTCTCCCCCTCTCTCTGCCTCTCCCCCTCTCTCTGCCTCTCCCCCTCTCTCTGCCTCTCCCCCACTCTCTGCCTCTCCCACACTCTCTGCCTCTCCCACACTCTCTGCCTCTCCCACTCTCTCTGCCTCTCCCCTCTCTCTGCCTCTCCCCCTCTCTCTTTGCCCTCTCCCCCTCTCTCTGCCTCTCCCACACTCTCTGCCTCTCCCACACTCTCTGCCTCTCCCCCTCTCTCTGCCTCTCCCCCTCTCTCTGCCTCTCCCACACTCTCTGCCTCTCCCCCTCTCTCTGCCTCTCCCACACTCTCTGCCTCTCCCCTTCTCTCTGCCTCTCCCCCTCTCTCTGCCTCTCCCACACTCTCTGCCCCTCCCCTTCTCTCTGCCTCTCCCCCTCTCTCTGCCTCTCCCCCTCTCTCTGCCTCTCCCCTTCTCTCTGCCTCTCCCCCTCTCTCTGCCTCTCCCCCTCTCTCTGCCTCTCCCCCTCTCTCTGCCTCTCCCCCTCTCTCTGCCTCTCCCCCTCTCTCTGCCTCTCCCCCTCTCTCTGCCTCTCCCCCCTCTCTCTGCCTCTCCCCCTCTCTCTGCCTCTCCCCCTCTCTCTGCCTCTCCCCCTCTCTCTGCCTCTCCCACACTCTCTGCCTCTCCCACACTCTCTGCCTCTCCCACTCTCTCTGCCTCTCCCCCTCTCTCTGCCTCTCCCCCTCTCCCCCTCCGTCTCCTTCTCCCCAACAACCTGTCAATAGAGGCGACACAAACACACAGTCATCGTGGTGACGTGCGAGAGAAGAGGAGCAGCGCCCCTTCTGACACATAGAAGGGAACGATACATCACCCCGAATTACAAAGCCACGCCCACACGGCCACAGGACGCGACAGCAGCCCCGCCCCCACTCTCAACCGAGGCCACTTGCACACCTCCAGAGCACAGTGCTTCATACGCCCGAGAATCCCCGAAGCTGGTTTATCGTTATCGACATAGAAACCCGCGTTATCGTCCCCAGCTCACTTATCGCCTTACTCACTGGACGTTCGGATACTGACAGCCGGGCAATAATAAAGAGGCGTGAGACGGGGGGGAGGGGGGGGAAGGAGGAAAAAACAAGAATAGGCATGAGAGGGGAAAAATAAAGGGCCTGTGAGAGGGAAAAAAAGGTCGTGAGAGGTAATAATAAAGAAATGGAGAAGATAAGAAAAGAAAATGGCCGTGACAAGGAAAAACAAAAGATTGAGCGTGAGGAAAAAACAATAAACAGGCCTGAGAATAATCTACCATAACAACAATAACAATAAAAATTACAATAACAATAATAACAATAATTATGACAACAACAATAACAATAATAACAACAATAATAATAATGACAATAATAATAAATTAATGATAAAATTAATAAGAACAATAACAATAACAATAACAATAAGAAGAAAAACAAAAATAATAAAAATAGGAAGAATAATAACTGATGATGATGATGATGATGATGATGATGATGATGATGATGATGATGATGATGATGATGATGATGATGATGATGATGATGATGATGATGATGATGATGATGATGATGATGATGATGATGATGATGATGATGATGATGATGATAACAATAACAATAATAATAATAATAAAGGCAACAACAAAAAGAAGATAAAAGACTAGCAACATGGCAAAAGATCTTCAGCAAATTTTGACCCACTTCAGAGAGAATCCCTAGTTCAACACACTCAACAAAACACATACTTGGTACTTGACAACAAATAACAGTTATGAAATGTAAGAAACTCAAGACATTCAAATTAATTATATCAATATCTAAATGTAAGAAAAAAAACACAAAAGCAAAAACACAAGACATTCTGTAATAGAAATTGTTATGAAATGTAAGAAACTCGACATTCAAATTAATTATATCAATATCTAAATATAAGAAAAAAAAAAACACAAAAGCAAGAACACAAGACATTCTGTAATAGGACAGCTGTTTGTGAAAGATTCCAGCCAAGTGAGATGGTGGTTCCAGCCTTAAAGGGAATGAGGAACATTTTTGAAGAACTTATATTTTGTCAACTTTTGATCTCGGCCTTCTGTTCACTCTTGGGTAGTTGTATCTATTAACCTTTGTGAACACCTACACCCAATGACCATTTTACAACATGACTAACAGCAAAACATTCTAAGAAGAATAGTTTCAACATGAGCACCTTTCAAGAACAATTTGAGGCAGGTGCAGCATTTGGTCTGGCACCTTGTGCTAAAATAACATCAACAAGAACAACAGCAGGAACAATATGAATAACAACAATACCAATAAAAACAACAACAACAACAACAACAACAACAACAACAACAATAATAATAATAATAACAACAACAATAATAATGATAACAATAATAATAATAATAGCAAAAATAATAATAATAGTAATAATAATAATAATAATAATAATAATAATAATAATAATAATAATAAAAATAATAACAATTATTATTATTATTATCATAACAACAATAATAATAACAATAATAATAATAATAATAATAATAATAATAACAATAATAATAATAATAACAATAATAATAATAACAATAATAATAACAATAACAATAACAATAACAATAACAATAATAATAATAATAACAATAATAATAATAATAATAATAATAATAATAATAATAATAATAATAATAACAACAACAATAATAACAATAATAATAACAACAATAAAATTGATAATAAATCAAATTTGGTGATGGTGATGACAATAATTTCTTTATTATCCCAGGTATAATAGAACCACGAGTTTAATTACACTAACAAAAATAATAAAATTACTTATTATCACTGAGTTGCAGTATTATAAATACAGCAAAACAACTACAGAAGGAATATAACAATAATTCTCACCTTATTAAAACAATAAAAGAAACAAATATAAAATAAATATCACTATAAGAAAAAAAAGAATTATAGTCACTAGTCTTACTATATTCATTAATATCTGTCCTCGAAGTCTGACACAAAAGCTTGACTCATCCATGGGATGGGACTTGAATGGGCCAAACTTAACCAGAGTGAAACATTAAGCTGTAAACCCTACGTTGTGCACTGTACCAAGGCAGTGGAAAACACTAGCCAGCTGTCCCTCTTCTTTCACTTCTTCAACTTCCTTGCCAATGCTAGCACAGAGCAACAAGTTTAATCATTTTTTTCTGACACTGGATTAAGAGTGCATTTGTAGCTACATTACAGAGTATTTGCCATTCTCTACTCATCAGCGTCTTCCCAGAATGTTGGGTATTATGTAGTATGTGGTACACTGAAGGGAGAATTAGATCCAAACTTTGTTCTACAGGTTCCTCACATCAATTTATCATCATTGTGGGGCACTTTAAGACTCTACAGGCTTCTCTGTTCTGCTACAATGCCTGAAAAGGAAGCCAGATACATTCCTGACATACAAGAACAGGTGAGAACAGATTAACTTGTTTACATCTTCACTTACTTCCCCATATGTCATGAGGAGCTTTTCCTAGACAAATTCTCCTCATAGCTCTCCTGTGGGAAACTGAGGTATGGTCACACAGCTTTCTCTGTTGGTATCCTCCTTCTCTTCTTTTGATGGAGGCAGTTCTACTAAGAGGAGAATTTTGTGCTTTTCATTACCCTCATATGCATGGTTGATCCTTTTCACCAGGTACAGTCCAGGGTCTTCTACAGCTACTGCCCAATATCAATCAAACTGGGTTAAGGTCCTGTGGATACATCTAGGTGACATTCATTTACTGTTTCATTTTACTGCTTACTTCATCTACTTAGCACTTAGGTTCTTGTTTCTACTGTGACAAGACCAGCTGATCATCTGTGGGCATGGCAAAATTCCAGGTGGCAATGCTCCTTTTCTCATGTTGCCACGACAATAAAACAGGTAATTGAATTGATCATCACAGGACATGCCCTGCTTATGCATGCCTTATCTAAGTGCTATTACACCTTTTTATGCTTTATTTCTTGCTTACCCCACTTAGTTGGGAGGGGGAACTATTATTTCAACCATTTATTTAATCTATGTTGCTTAGCCAGTTGTCATATGGTACTTCTGAAATACCTAGCAACTGCTAAACCACACTCTTTCTTGTGGAAATAGGTGGTGCCATCTACTGTTCCCTGAGATGTCTTAACCACACCCCAATGGTACCCTCACTCTGGGTCCACAGCATTGGGCACATGTTCTCTTCCTATGTAACAGCCCCATTAATCAGCAGCCACCACCCTGGTTGATTAGGTTCATGTAGAGGTCATGAATCACCTCTCTCTAGCCACAGAGTTCATTTGTTTGTTATACTGTCATTTTGCTCCATTCAGAGCAAAATGACAGGTGACCCCAAGGTGATCTTCTGAATTCTTCCCTTTGTGTAATGCCAACATGACAATCACTCAGGGAGTTCCCCAGACCCTACAGGTTATGGCTCCTTTAGTTACTCCCTTGGAGATTCCTTCATTCAAGGCTTTATAAAATCTGATCTTATGGCAGTCAATAAGATAGAAAACTATTTCTCTGTCTGTTGAAATCTAATACATGCATATCCCTCCCTTCATGCTACATTGCCAGCTTGTTTTATTTCAGTCTTAGGCTAGCGTTAGCATATCTTTCATTACAGTGAATTCTGGGTTGTTGAAGTCCACTGGATGAATGTGCCAGGCTTTTCCATCAGACCTCAACAGACAGATACTTCATGATCATAACTACCTTTTTTTGAAAGCAATAGTTCCATTCATATCTTTAATGCTATCTGCCAATCAGCATAGAATATATAGTGATATTCTTATACTGTGCATGGATGCACAATACATATTGTGTACTCATCAACATCACACATTTTTCTCTGAAAATGTATTGGAAAAAAAAGAGGGGAAAAAATGCTTATCAATGACAAGAGGACTGAAATTTTACCATGACATCAGCAAACTTTTGAGCATAAAAATATGTTAAAGCAACCACATACCATGGATAATCTTCCACACAGTATTGGTGACAAAAAATGCAAGAGGCAAGATAACTGTTTAAAAAGTTTTATCACTTGGCAATAAACTCAAGCTGCTTGTCATGTTTAATTTTTATTATCTTTCTGTTCAGCATATACAAAAGGAACATAAAAATAACAACAAAATTCATGTCAAGCATACTGCCTAATGGATTGACAGACAGCCGTGCCTAATGACAGGACTAGTGAATAAGTGAGGATAATAAAACAAAGTAAAGAGAAAAGCAAATGCAGAGAAAGTAAATTAAAAACAAATCAAAGAAAGGAAAGAAAATGTGTGTGTACATACATACGTACGTACGTGTGTGTGTGTGTGTGTGTGTGTGTGTGTGTGTGTGTGTGTGTGTGTGTGTGTGTGTGTGTGTGTGTGTGTGTGTGTGTGTGTGTGTGTGTGTGTGTGTGTGTGTATTTATATATATTTATGTATATATATACATATATATGTTTATGTATACATACATACATGCATACATGCATACATACATACACACATGCATACATGCATACATACATACATACATACATACATACATACATACATACATACATACATACATATGCATATGCATGTAATAATAATAATAACAATAATAATAATGATAACAATAATAAGTAAGGCAAATATGGAGTTTCCTTTCACTCAAACTTCCTCATTTATTTATCAGACTCTATATTGCCAGCCGCTATGGCTTCATTCAGATTACCTATATCATATTTTACAGTATCATCTCAGCCAGCAGAAAAGACAAATCTTAAAATACTGCTATCTTACCTAAAGCTTTAAACTTGCCCTATCTTAGGCATCCATAAACATTTTCTCTTCAAACTTCAAGTGGCCCTAAATTTATCCCAAACACATACCAAGATTTAGAAAAGAAAATATCTAAAATGCATAATTTTGGGGGAGTCTCTGTGGGACTTAAAACTGACCTTAGAAATCCTTGATTATGTGACAGCATATGTTAACAAAAATAAACAAAGTTCATTGTGACAAACGTAGAACAGATACAACTGACAATTTCCTAATGCAAGATATGACATCAGTGTTTTGCTATTTCATATTTACTCAAATTACTACTAATTCTGATGAATAAGTGATATCTCAGTTTCAAGTACATATTTTGCAATGCACCATAGGGAATCAACAGACTGCCAATGAAAATTATTAGTAATACTGCACATTCAAACTTCCTAAAACAATATTCCTTCTTAACCTTGCAACATGAATATATTTCTCATATCCAAATCCTCAACACATAGGACTATAGAGATAACAGTAGGAAAAGGGTGGAAGAATGGACAAATACTCTAACAGACAGACTGACTGACTCAAATATGTAGCCACTATAAATCTGTGACTCTTCACCACAAAATGAGACAGAATGCTCTTTACATTTCCACAGAGGGCAATAAACTTTCATAACATTAAACCTATCAAAGTGCATGTAGACTGACAGACTAAGACAAGTAATAGTGGCCTTTCCTTTATAATGATCAGAGTGTTTGAGCAAATCTAAAACCGCCACTTCATAAGATCTGGTCAATTGCAACTTGCAGACCTCCCTGGCTCTTTATCCTCATCTAAGCCAAGCTCTATCTTACAAGAATATACCAAGAAGAGGCTTGCTGGCCTGTCGTGAGGCAATCCATCAAGCAGCTATTCTGAATTACCTAATAACTAGGATGTAATCTTGACCAAATTCATTTACTTTCTCTCGCAGCTGATAAGGCCTATGTGCATATTCTGGCTCCTCCTGTGATGGCCAGTCACAAGGAATAATTCATGTGCACACGTCCATCATGCTTATAGGGTGACATGTACATAACATTACATACATAATAACACACATCTACAAAACTTTCCCATTACCAGGAAAAAGTTACCAGACAACAGCAGCAATACGTAATTCAAATCATTTAGTATTAGCATTTAGTAATACATAATTCAAATCATTTAATAATATGTAATTCAAATCATTTAGTATTTATTTTTAGTATTTAGTATATTTTTCAAATCATTTAGTATTTATTTTTAGTATTAAGTATATATTTCAAATCATTTAGTATTTATTTTTAGTATTTAGTATATTTTTCAAATCATTTAGTATTTATTTTTAGTATTTAGTATATTTTTCAAATCATTTAGTATTTATTTTTAGTATTTAGTATATTTTTCAAATCATTTAGTATTCATTTTTAGTATTTAGTATATTTTTCAAATCATTTAGTATTTATTTTTAGTATTTAGTATATTTTTCAAATCCTTTAGTATTTATTTTTAGTATTTAGTATATCTTTCAAATCATTTGGTATTTAACATTTAGTATTTTAGTATTTTAGTATTCTTAGTGTTAGGGTCGCCCCAGCTGACACACACACACACATGGGGCTCATTCATATGTAGAGACTTACACACAAGCGCAAACACACATACGAAAGCACACTGGCCTACACTAACATACAAAGTTGATTCCATCATACATACATAAACTTGGATTTATACACAATATATATATATATCTATTTTTTTTCTATAATTAAATGTATAAACGAATACACAACACCAATGCCCGAATTCCCGTTTCCTTTCCACAAAATGAAAGGAAATCCAGTCGCGATCAGGAAAACGCAAAGTGAAAAGGGTAAGAGGCAGCAGAAAAGTCGCCAGAAACTTAATACGAAAGTTAAGTTTAAAAAAAAAAATTAAAAAGAAGTAGAAAAGAAGTCAAATTCTCACCACACTTGGCCGTACGCCCCCGAGCCCACAGGGGAGAGCATGGTGTACTTCTGCGGCACCTCCCATTCCGTCTTGTTCAGCTCTATCGTGTGGTACCCTGGCTTAGGCATCGCGGAATCTGCCTAGAATTCCGATTTAAAAAAGTCCCAGAGGCGGTCGAGGGGCGAAACTTTAATCCAAAGAGGGACCGAGCGTCCTCTTCCCGCACTCGCTAGATCTCGACTGTGGGCTGTTGCCTTTTTGTCGCGCTCGTTTTCCGCTGAGTTCGCTAGGTTTGCGCTAGGTTTTCTGGTTATTTATTTACCTCTACATAGATAGAATGTGAAGTTTTATGCTTTCATGTTGGATTATAATTAAGTTTATACATATATATGTGTGTGTATCCAGTAAAATCTGTCTTGATTTGGTAATTATTTCATTAATATGGGATAAAATTCATTGCCAAAGCAAATTATTTTTTTTACTTATATCTGCTTATCTATTATGCCTGTTTATGATTATTTATAGGCAATTCAACTTTACTTTTGGCCATTAGTGTACCTTTCACTTACTTTTATATCGATACAAAACTAAAGAAAAATATTCGACTAAAAAATCGCTTCTTAGAGACTACAAGTACAAATCAACTTAAAAAAAGAAACATTCCAGCCAGCCAAATAATCTAGACAACGAAATACAAAAAACTATAATAATACAAATCTTTAAAAAAAAACGCCCAAAACATACACAAAGGATGTCGACCAACAGAAAAACCCAGAATAACTTTGTCCCCGCGGAGTGTTGTTGCATGGTTCCCGCGGCGAAGACAAGGCCACCGCCAGCCTCCCGAATTTTCTTTAATTTAACCACCAACTCGAGTCTCTCAGCCGTTTAAGATGAACGTGAGTATGGTTATCTTTAAGGATATGTTATTCAGGGTAAACATAAGTCGAGTGACGTAGAGCATAAGGGTTGTTTTGCGGCGAAAGTAAAAGGCGCCTTTGAATTTTTTTTCGCTCTATATCCATATCTATTAAAATGTCCTGTGGGGTTTTGGATTAGGTGTTTGTCCTTGGCTTTGGTGGCGGTGCGTTCATTATTGGTGGGAAGAAAGCGATGAGAGGTTTTATTTGAATAATGGAAGGCCTAACACGTGGGTGGTCTTATTTCAGTAACTTTCGCGCAGCCTTTTCAGAACGCGAGGCTGAGGTTCATGTCTAAATTTTACATCTTATTTCATGGTGTCATTCATTATCTTTCTCTGTATTTGTCTTTTAATTTCCCTTCTCTGCTTTATTTCTCTCTTCTCCTTCCTCTGTTCTCCTCTCTCCCTCCCTCTCTCTGTATTTGCTCTTTCCCTCCTTCCTCTCCCTGCCTCTCCTCCTTCCTTCTTCCTTACCCCTCTTCCTCTTCCCCTCCTTTCTTTCCCTTCCTCCCTCCCTCTCTTCCTCCTCCTCCTCCTCCTCCTCCTCCTCCTCCTCCTCCTCCTCCTCCTCCCTCTCTTCTTCCTCCTCCTGTTCCTCCCTGCCTCCTCCTCCCCTCCTCCTTCCCCCCTCCCCCCTTACCTCTTTCTCCTCTTCCTCTCCCTCCATGTCACCCTATCTCCCACCCTCCTTCCTTCCTTTCCTACCTCCCTCTCTCCCTCCCTCCCTCCCTCCCTCCCTCCCTCCCTCCCTCTCTCCCCCTCCCCCCTTTCCCTCTTCCTCCTCTTCCTCTTCCTCTCCTTCCATGTCGCCCTGCCTCCCACCTCCTCCTTCCTTTCTCCCTTCCTCCCTCCCTCCCTCCCTCCCTCCCTCCCTCCCTTCCCACCTTCCTCCTCCTCTTTCTCCTGCCCCCCTTCCTCCCTTTCCCTCTCTCCTTCCCTGTCATCCTCTCCCTTCCTCCTTCCCCCTCATCCTCTCCCTCCCTTCTGCGAGTTAATTTACTAGGGCAAATTGATTATATTCTTGTAAAGAACAAAAAGTTGATGATGTCGGTATAAGAAATAATCTGCAGACATGAACAGTAGCACCACAAATAAAGGAAAAAGACAGCGGAAAGTCCAGTCATTCCTCCCGAGTTTCAGCTCTTATCTTGCCGTGCACACTCTCACTTGCTCCTCCTCATCTACCTCTCCCTCCCTACCTCCCTTCCTCCCTCTCTCCCTCTCTCCCTCCCTCCTTCCCTCTCTCCCTCCCTCCCTCCCTCCCTCCCTCCAGTTAATCTTTACAGTATGGATGGACTAATCAGGGCAAATTGATAATAATAGTCTCGTAGATATATATATATATATATATATATATATATATATATATATATATATATATATATATATATATATATATATATATATATTTATATATATATATATATATTTATATATATTTATATATATATATATATATTTATATATATTTATATATTTATATATTTATATATATTTATATATATTTATATATTTATATATATATTTAAATATTTATATATATATTTATATATTTACATTCTCTCTCTCCATATATATATATGTATGTATATATTCCCTCCCTTTCCCTCTCCTGTCTTTTCTGTATTCTCTTTCTCTCTCTCTCTCTCTCTCTCTCTCTCTCTCTCTCTCTCTCTCTCTCTCTCTCTCTCTCTCTCTCTCTCTCTCTCTCTCTCTCTCTCTCTCTCTTCTCTCTCTTCTCTCTCTTCTCTCTCTCTCTCTCTCTCTCTCTCTCTCTCTCTCTCTCTTCTCTCTCTCTCTCTATTCTCTCTATTCTCTCTCTCCCCTCTCTATTCTCTCTCTCCCCTCTCTATTTCTCTCTCTCTCCCCTCTCTATTCTCTCTCTCTCCCTCTCTATTCTCTCTCTCCCCTCTCTATTCTCTCTCTCCCCTCTCTATTCTCTCTCTCCCCTCTCTATTCTCTCTCTCCCCTCTCTATTCTCTCTCTCCCCTCTCTATTCTCTCTCTCCCCTCTCTATTCTCTCTCTCCCCTCTCTATTCTCAGTCTCCTCTCTCTATTCTCAGTCTCCTCTCTCTATTCTCACTTACTCACTCTCTCTCTCTATTCTCACTTACTCACTCTCTCTCTCTATTCTCACTTACTCACTCTCTCTCTCTATTCTCACTTACTCACTCTCTCTCTCTATTCTCACTTACTCACTCTCTCTCTCTATTCTCACTTACTCACTCTCTCTCTCTATTCTCACTTACTCACTCTCTCTCTCTATTCTCACTTACTCACTCTCTCTCTCTATTCTCACTTACTCACTCTCTCTCTCTATTCTCACTCACTCTCTCTCTCTCTCTCTCTCTCTCTCTCTCTCTCTCTCTCTCTCTTGTACTCCAGTACATTTGTAGAAGTCTTCAACACTAGACATCTAAGAAATTACGTGGCTTTCTCTTCCACAGCAAAAGCAGAGCAGGAAAGGAAAAAGCGAGAAGACAAAGGAGCGACGTGCAGCTCTCAAAGCCGAGAGAGCTAAGTTGGCAGCTGGGCGGTTCTTGGTGAAGCAGGCTAATGGCATAGTAAGATATCCACTCTCTCTCTCTCTCTCTCTCTCTCTCTCTCTCTCTCTCTCTCTCAGCTAGCTATACATGTAAGCAGTCATTGTGATGACTTTGAAGGTATTGGTGTCAGCACAAGGGGAGCCTTTGACATCCATTCGTTCAGCAGGTAAAATGACTCCTACTCTTGGAATTGTTTAGTTGTGAGGCCAAAGGAAGGATTTTCAGGACTCTCCACACCATAATCCTGAGACTTTGGCTGAAACTAACATCAAATCTTAACCCCTAAACAATAAGCATCACTGATTTGCTGCATGTTTAGCTAGCATTCGTATTTTTCTTGTGTTAGGTTATATTTCTATGCATTATCTCCCTCTTTTCTCTGTTCTTTTCGTTTTTGTGATTTTAAACAGTTGATTTTGACCCAGTAGGATATGGTGTGTGGTATATGATGTAAAAGCTTTGTTTAGCTGAAATGAAAGTGAAATAGTTAATTTGATATGATTTTAAAGAAATTCTTGGCATATGTCATTTTTGTGTGTGTGCGTGCGTGCGTGCATGCATGTGTGCATACACATATATGGATTTATATATATTTATGTAAATATATTTGTTTTCATTGCAGCCTGATCCTTTAGCAAAATTTCCAACATTTCAAAAATTTGAGCGAAATGGACTGAGTTGCACTTTATCTTGCAAGAGAGTAAGAGACCTGGCTCCAGAGACACTGGAATGGGCTATTGAGCTCTGTTCAAGAAACATGAAAGCAATGTAAGTCTTAACTTTTTTCCTTAAAATGTCATTGCTGTTGACTGCTAACCACACAGCATTTGTTTTTTGTGCATTTTTCATCCAATCATTTTCAACCTTTTTAAAACCTCAGTCATAAGTTATTGAAAATATTTCTCTGAAAAGATAATGAATTTTCAATTTGCAGGCAGTGTGCTAAGGTTGCAGAGTATCATGATTCTTAGTGAAAGTTTTATAGATATTTTTGCCCCTACCAACTCCCCTTCCTGCCATTATTATCCTTACATTTCTTTATTAAACAAATTCAAGAGGATTTGGCTTATCCTCAAGAATAGCCAATGTATTCACAAACTAACTTCTTCCACCTCCCCAAGGTATGAAAAAAGCAGTGCAGGCTGGCACGCGTGGGAGAAGAGAGAGGAGATGAGCGAGGATGCTGCCTGGTATCTCATTGCCTACGACACAAACACACAGAAGCCCATCGCTTTCTCACACTTCCGGTTTGACATGGATTATGGAGATGAAGTTTTATATTGGTGAGAGATATTGCTTAACCTTTACTCAGTTTATTCCTTCTGCTGTTAAGTTCAAGATACTTTCCTCTAGAGGTTAACTTCCTTGTCTTTCAGTCATTTGTGTACACATACTTGCATACTTAAATGTACATGCACTTGGTCAGTCAATCCAGCTTATATTTGCACGTGAGAAATAAAGGAAAACCCACTAGCTGTTTTATGAATGGACTGCCTATCCCTATCCAGTAAAGAGTATTAACTGACTGGTTTCCCCACAGCTATGAATTGCAGCTCGAGAAGGACTACCAAAAGAAAGGACTGGGGAAGTTCATGATGCAGGTTCTGGAGCTTATGGCCTTCTCCAACCAGATGATGAAAGTTGTGTTGACTGTTTTTAAGCACAACCCAGATGCAATGGCTTTCTATGAAAAGTGCAAGTAAGTATAAGACCAGAAAACCTGCATTGCAAAATTAGCAAGGAGGAAGTGCTGGATATTGTTTATATGCGTAGGGAGGAATAAGTCTTGATTATAAACAAAATTGCATATATTTCTTCTTTTTCCTTAATTTTGATTGTGGCAAATGTATTATCAGTAGATATGTTTTGACTTTGACTTTTTATTTTTCCAGATATGAGGTTGACGAGACTTCTCCAGAAGATAACTTTGAGGAAACCTTCGACTACAGTATCCTAAGTAAAATGAACAAAATGAAGCCAACACAGAAGACCTCTCTTTGAACTTGACTTAAACTTAGATCTGATTTTTTGTTAACCTAATAAGGGCATTAAAGAGACTTCAGAAAAATTGTAGTCTTTTATCGTCCATGAATATGGACATCTTTTTAGGAAGTAATAGCAAAAATTGTATTACACATTCCACATCCAATCCACCGTTTAAAGAGTGCAAGAAATGTTAATTTTTTCTTACATTAATGAAATTTTTAGTAAAATTTTAAAATCTTTGTTTTCCTTTATATAGGCTATCAGTTTTTTCCTCTCTCTCTCTCTCTCTCTCTCTCTCTCTCTCTCTCTCTCTCTCTCTCTCTCTCTCTCTCTCTCTCCCTCCCTCCCTCCCTCCCTCCCTCCCTCCCTCCCTCCCCCCCTCCCCCCCTGTCCTCCCTCTCTCACCCCCTTTTCCTTTTAAGTTTTCATATGTGCTTATGTAATCCAAAGGTAATCAAAGAAATACAGTATTCTGTGTTGTAAAACTTGAATTTTCTTAAACATTTTCATATTTTAAAGTATTTTCATAATGCATTAAGGAAAGATAAAGAAATGTACAATATAAATTTTGATGTGTGATATTTTTTACCTTAACGGTATATACTAGTAATGATAATCCCATAGGTATTAAATAAAACAGTGTAGAGCAGTGAATAGCAGTGCACATTTGCCAGATTATATTAATCATTTTCCAAGTATTTAAATATAACGACAAAACCTTTGCTAGAAGTATTACAGGAAAACACTATAAACCATAAAAGTTCAAAGATGTAATTTTCCTTTATAAGAGGAAATGCAAAACCATCATAAGTTGCATAGACTGCTTCTTCACTCTTTCATTCTTCAATGCACTGAAGCAGATCTAGGGCATACTTGTTTCATTGAGTTATATAAGCTTTATTCTAAAAGAAATTCAAAACTAGCATTCAAGGAAGAAAAAATTGCATTGTGAAGTAATTCAACTTTTTACGGTTGGAACTTCAGGAGTTACACTAGAAACAGACACTTTTGTATCGTGATTCACATGTTTATGAAATTATTGCAGTTTTTCTTAAGCTATGTCAAGGCAAGAGAAGTGAAGTCAGAGCTAGGCAGACTACTGGCTTGTCTCCCCTATGCCTCATTGTTGCCGTTGGGGGCTTAGGAGGCAGAGATTGAGGCCCAGTGAAGGGGATCACCCCACTCTTGGTCATCAGCCATCAGCTTAACTAATTCTGCATGGCCTTTTCTTCTTTCCTTTTCCTTCATCCCCTGGTTTTGTCTACTTATCCTAATTGTTAATTCTCATTTGCCGTTTTTGTCACAATACTTTATCATAATGTTCTCTACTCCCTTAACCCATTGCCGCCGGGGAAAATGAACAAAAAATGGGGAAAATGCTGTGCCTATTTTCTATACTTTTTTGTTAAATGTCTGCCCATAGATGGCTCTGTTAGCGCCTGATTTAAAATGGCAGGAAAAACGTATTTTTCGCTAGTGCCATGAATATAAATGGTGTTTTTTTTTTTATAAACATTATAATTTTTATAATGTTTTTTAACATTAGTAACAGCAAAATAAGATAACGTAAAATATTTCGTAAATCAAAGAAAAGGGTGAACGGGCGAGACGTGTGGTACTCGTAACTGGCTCATTGGTGATTTAGTACAAGTGTAGCCATCTATGTGTAAAATCAATCCAACAAATAATCTCACAGTGGGCATGGCATGGCATGCCCGGCGGGAATGGGTTAACTCCTTCCTTTTCTAACAACCTTTACCTTATACTATAACCCTTCAGCTCCCCCTCTACCCTTTTCACTAACATACTCTCTAGTACCGTTCAACCTGTAACTTTACCCAAATCCTTAATTAATTCCTAACCCTTTTTGCTATTATACTTTACCATAGCACCATATGACCTTTGATGTCATATAGCACATTCTTACCTGGGGGCTTTGCCCCAAGCCTCACACTATCACTGTATTTTGAATACACTGCTAAAGACCTTAGATGCATCAGAAAATGTTCAATAAATAGATAAAATACTGGCTGGGTCTTGCTCGTTGTTGTCATGAGAGGGCTTAGGAGATGGAGACTGAGGCCCAATGTAGGGGATCACCCCTACCTTGGTCCTGAGGCCCCCAATCCCTTGCTCATAGTTGCTGTGAGGTGGAAACTGAGGCCCTCACCTCAATTAATTTTGCAGGGTCTTTTCTTCTCCCTCTGTCATTTTTCTTCTCTTCATACCCTTCTGTCCACTTATCCAAATCATTAACTGATCTTTACCCCCTTTTTTCACAATACCATAATGCCTTATGACCTTTGATGTCTTGCACATTTGTTTTTGACCATTGGAAATTCTGGAAATCAATAAATATTGCTTAACTGAGCAAAAAAACTTTCTTGGGGGCTTTACCCCCAAGCTCCACCCTTTTCTTCTCTCCTTTCCCTTTCCTTCATCCCCTTGTTCTGTCCACTTATCCTAATCGTTAAACTCATTTTTGCCAGTTTTACCACAATACTGTATCATAATGCTCCCAACTCCCTTAGCTCCTTCCCCTTCTAACAACCTTTACCCTACACTATACTCCATCAGTTCCCCCTCTTTACCCTTTTCACTACCATACTACTGTTAAACCTGTAACTTTACCCTAATCATTACCACCAATCCCTTGCTCATTGTTGCTTTCCCTACCTTGAACCTCAGCCCTCAACTCAATTTTTCTTCTCCCTTTCATTTTCTTTCTCTTCTTCACCCTCTTCTGTTCACTTATCCAAATTGTTAACCCATATTTACCCTTTTTTGCCACAATACTTTACCATAATGCTATGAAACCTTTGATTTCTGATACATTTGTGTGTTTTGACCATTGAACATTCTGGAAGTCCACACACATTACCTTACTGAACCAAAAACTTTACTAGGGGGCTTTGCCCCCTAAGCCCCACTCTATCACAATTTTTTGTATGTACTGCTAATGACCCTTTAGATGTTGAGTGGCAGAATTTTTTCACTAAATAAATAAACAAATAAATAAATACTGGCTGGGCAACCTATTCCACTAGAAAATAATTTGTTTAGCCAGTTGTAGCCTGCCTCTGATGTCACTTGTCAGTCATACCCACTCATCTGGAAATGGCCTTGTGTAGTTTGTCATCTCCTGTTAACTCTGCTCAAAAAATTCAGAGATTTTACTGTAGATAATTTAAAATGCTATAGTTCCTTTTAACAGTTAGAGATATCCTGTTCATTTGACTTGATGTTATTTAATTTTTATTTATTACCTTTCATTGCTCTTTTTTACATTATGTAAACTGAACACTTAAGTACTGTTATAAAAGAATGGGATGTTTGATGGATGGAAAAATGCTCTCTCTCTGCCTAAGAGTAAAGAGATTATAACAATAAGGCATGACCCTAATCAGAAATCTCAACTGAATTGGATTTGCGATACCATAGCATCTGCGCAGTACAACCAACACGAAGGAAGACAAAAATAAGAGAAAATGCTCTTCCTGATAATCAACTACAAACGCCCACCTTGGAAAGCTATAATAGCATTTGAAAGCAACTTCAAGCAGCAGAGCCAAGGTGAAGTGGAGTACATATATCACACCTAGAAACAAAAGTATTTTTTCATCCTATAAAAACATTTTGTTTCTTCTGGGTCTGGTGCTAAGGTAGGTTGGAAATGAAAAAGAGAGGAGGTTGGTCTAGAACAGGCCCATACAGGATGTACATTTATAAGGTAATAGAGAATAAAGCAAAGTATACAAACATGATACCAAGGAGATGATTATGGACAGTCCACACACATTACCTTACTGAACCAAAAACTTTACCAGGGGGCTTTGCCCCCTAAGCCCCACTCTATCACAATTTTTTGTATATACTGCTAATGACCCTTTAGATGTTGAGTGGCAGAATTTTTTCACTAAATAAATAAACAAATAAATAAATACTGGCTTGGCAACCTATTCCACTAGAAAATGATTTGTTTAGCCAGTTGTAGCCTGCCTCTGATGTCACTTGTCAGTCATACCCACTCATCTGGAAATGGCCTTGTGTAGTTTGTCATCTCCTGTTAACTCTGCTCAAAAAATTCAGAGATTTTACTGTAGATAATTTAAAATGCTATAGTTCCTTTTAACAGTTAGAGATATCTTGTTCATTTGACTTGATGTTATTTAATTTTTATTTATTACCTTTCATTGCTCTTTTTTACATTATGTAAACTGAACACTTAAGTACTGTTATAAAAGAATGGGATGTTTGATGGATGGAAAAATGCTCTTTCTCTGCCTAAGAGTAAAGAGATTATAACAATAAGGCATGACCCTAATCAGAAATCTCAACTGAATTGGATTTGCGATACCATAGCATCTGCGCAGTACAACCAACACGAAGGAAGACAAAAATAAGAGAAAATGCTCTTCCTGATAATCAACTACAAACACCCACCTTGGAAAGCTATAATAGCATTTGAAAGCAACTTCAAGCAGCAGAGCCAAGGTGAAGTGGAGTACATATATCACACCTAGAAACAAAAGTATTTTTTCATCCTATAAAAACATTTTGTTTCTTCTGGGTCTGGTGCTAAGGTAGGTTGGAAATGAAAAAGAGAGGAGGTTGGTCTAGAACAGGCCCATACAGGATGTACATTTATAAGGTAATAGAGAATAAAGCAAAGTATACAAACATGATACCTAGGAGATGATTATGGACAGTCAATACTATCCAGGGGACATTGTGACTGATGAGTCAGCTGATGGTTTGGTGATTTCTCATTGTTAATTTGATTGTAAAGCCAAGTAAAATTGATGTCAGCTTGATTATCTGACCTGAAAGGAATTTCTTAATGTAATTTGGAGGCATATATCACTGAAGTCTAATTTCTTTATTCTCATATCTAAAGATTTCAAATTACAATTCATAAAGATTCCAGAAAGCAATTTTTGTATTATTTAAGACAGGATACACATGCACAGTAACTAGCAATTGCTGCATTGGGTTAAAGTAAATAATGCAGAGTGAATTGTGTATATATATAATTGGTAATATGAATGGTTTCCTTATAAGGGATTATCACCATCTTTAGGTTCTGTGTTGTTAGACACATAGTGTTAGCCATCCATAGTGTAAATGGAGTAGTTCAAAGATTTAAGAGTCACAAAAAATGAAAGCAGTGCAAACAATTACTACTACTTCATAGTGTACAACCCAGCACTCTCTTTACCCACGTTGGATCGAGTCCTCCCTGGCAATGGTTGCAGTAACTAGGAAGGCCATAATGGCCAAGGATTATATTGCCGAACATGTTTTTATCTCACTGGCACTGGATACATGCACTATCAGTGGTGGGTTTGTTTTATGAATTTTTATTTTAAAAGATTATTATCATCGTCATTATTATTATTATATCAAGTAACAATTTTTTCCCCCAAAATGATTAAGGAATAGAGTAAGTAGGTGATGTCAGGTAGGCCTAGTAGTTGACTCCTTTATGACTAAACATGTCTGGAGCCATCTGTGTGAAAACCAGTTTAATAAAACTAAACCAGAGTGGACAGTTTATTTATATGTGCAGT